GAGGGAGGGAGGGAGAGAAGGAGGGGCAAGCGTGGCAAGAGTTCCAAGATTTCCAATCAACGAGGTGTACTTCGTCTCCAAGCAAGTCTGCGCAAAGCGAGAGAGAGAGAGAGAGAGAGAGGGAGAGAGAGAGAGAGAGAAGGAGGGGCAAGCGTGGCAAGAATTCCAATCAACGAGGTGTACTTCGTCTCCAAGCCTTCAAGCATGGCAAGAATTCCAATCAACGAGGTGTACTTCGTTTCGATCAACGAGGTGTACTGCGTCTCCAAGCATGTCAAGAATGTGACACCCTACCTACTGTAGAGTCAGGAGCTCGGTCGACTACCTTTGCCGAGTGTTGCCGATGACCGCCAGAGGTCAGACTGACATGGGGTTCAGCATCACTAGACAAAGTGTCCGCCGCAACCTCCTGCCGAGACGAAAGCGACGGAGCCAAAACCGAAGAAGCCGTCGAAGCAGGAGTTGAGAGGCTCGCTGTAGGAGATGAGATGGCCAAAGTTCTCGAAGGCGAGTCTTGATCGAGCATGTCAAGAATTCCAATCAACGCGGTGTACTTCGTCGTCAAGCATGTCAAAATCCCAATCAACGAGGTATACTTCGTCTCCAAGCATGTCAAGAATTCCAATCAACGAGGTGTACTTCGTATCTAAGCATGGCAAGAATTCCAATCAACGAGGTGTACTCGTCTCCAAGCATGGCAAGAATGGCAAGAATTCCAATCAACGAGGTGTACTTCGTCTCCAAGCATGTCAAGAATTCCAATCAACGAGGTGTACTTCGTCTCCATGAGTGGTGAGGAGAGAGAGAGGAATGATGTGGTGAGGAGAGTGAGTGGAGTGGATGGAAAGGAATGTGAGGAGATTGGTGTGTGAACAACAAGGTGTACTGCGTCTCCAAACATGTCAAGAATTCCAACGAGGTGTACTTGGTCTTGAAGCATATGACGATGCGGAGCTCTCCATCATGAACAAGTAAAATTGGAAAAATTGGACAAAGGAGACAGGAGAAAGGAGACATCTCTGAGCATGAGTCCTGGATGAAGATCAAGAACCGAAGTGCCACCCGATCTGGTAATCGAAGAAGAGGTCGTAATAAGGTGGGGGAGAGGTGTGGTGGTCAAAAGTGTGGTGAGGTCTGCCCTCGAAAACCACAATACCGTCAACAAGAATTCCAACGAGGTGTACTTCGTCTCCAAGCAAGCTTGCGCAAAGCGAGCGAGAGAGAGAGAGAGAGAGAGATAGGGAGGGAGAGAGGGAGGGGCAAGCATGTCAAGAATTAAAAGGAATTCCAATCAACGAGGTGTACTTCGTCTCAATGCAAGCAAGTTTGTGCAAAGCGAGTGAGAGAGAGAGAGAGAGGGGGAGAGAAGGAGAGGCAAGCATGACAAGAATTCCAATCAACGAGGTGTACTTCGTCTCCAAGCATGTCAAGAATTCCAATCTACGAGGTGTACTTTGTTTCAATCAACGAGTTGTACTTTGTCTCCAAGCAGGTCAAGAATTCCAATCAACGAGGTGTACTTCGTCTCCGAGGTGTACTTCGTCGTTGGTCGGGGACGGTGGGTCAGTCAAGAATGTCAAAGAATTCTAATCAACGAGGTGTACTTCGTCTCCAATCAAGCTTGCGCAAAGCGAGCGAGCGAGCGAGCGAGCGAGAGAGAGAGAGAGAGAGAGAGCGAGGGAGGGAGGGAGGGAGGGAGAGGCAACCAGGTGTACTTCGTCTCCAAGCATGTCAAGAATTCCAATCAACGAGATGTACTTCGTCTCCAAGCAAGCTTGCGCAAAGCGAGCGAGAGAGAAAGAGAGAGAGAGAGAGAGAGAGAGAGGGAGGGAGAGAGGGAGGGGCAAGCATGTCACGAATTCCAAGAATTCCAATCAACGAGGTGTACTTCGTCTCCAAGCAGGTTTGTGCAAAGCGAGTGAGAGAGAGAGAGAGGGGGAGAGAAGGAGAGGCAAGCGTGGCAAGAATTCTTCCGGGGGTTCCAATCAACGAGGTGTACTTCGTCTCGAAGCATGTCAAGAATTCCAATCAACGAGGCCCCTGCTGCACAAGGAAAACAACTGTGAAGCTAAAACAATCCGAAAGGATCCCTATGATTCCAAGGGTTACACACTTAGGATAGGGTGTACTGAAGTGAAAGCGGCGCCGCACGCCGGCCTAGGTTACCAATTCCTAAGAGTACAGGTAAGGAAACCTGAAAAGGAAGTGGAGGTCCATCAAGTTCAGCGTGGCCATCAACTCTAAAGGAACCGTCGAACGACCGAGCGACAGAGTGACGTCGTCCGAAACCAAAGCCCTATGCGTGACTGCCGAGAGCAAACCGGTGCAAAGGCTGGATTTCTTGTTTTAGGTACAAGCAGGGCCCGGATTGGAGTAATTATCACAGCAGGTACAGGAAACTGTCCAAGTTTCCCTTCCCACTCTTGCCCACAGCTTCGTTGCGCGTGGTAGGACGAGAGTGCCACACGAGGTCCAAGGTGGTGAGATGTTGTGAGAAGGACATTCTGTTGAGCAACTCATAGAGTTGTACATTCCAATCAACGAGGTGTACTTCGCCTCGAAGCAAGCTTGTGCAAAGCGAGCGAGCGAGCGAGCGCGAGAGAGAGAGAGAGAGAGAGAGCCGTAGCCATTTTGGCTCAAGCCATTTTGGCTCAAGTTTTGGGCTCAAGTCGGGATTGCGCTTTCCTGGCTTCTCTAGAACCAACGTGGACCCAAAGCTCATCGACATCTCTTCTTGGGGGAGATTTTGAAGGTCACCTGTGACTTTGCCCGTGATTGAGATTGACGAGATCTTTGTTGCGGAAGAGCAGGATGGTGACCACTACGTGGGAGGGGTGGATGTACCCCAAGCAGCGCAGACAGCGGACCTATGTGTGCTGTCAAGGGTGCCCAACGTCTTGGATATGGGCAGACAGGATCAATGCTGATCGATGGAAATGCGACAAATGCAATCAAGCATGGCCGCAGACGACCTGGGTTTCAGATCAATCTCAGTTTCCCAAGCGGCGCAATCGACCTCGCCGAGATCGCAATGTCCTGGTGGAGAGGCCGCCTGGACTTGGTCATCGGCCACAGATCTCGGGAGTGGAGAAGGCGCTTCAAAAGGGATGGAGCAGTCTCAGCAAAGAGGTGCAAGAAGCTTTGAAGGTGGTGGGGATTGATTACACCCCTGAGCCGGAGCTGCAATCCATTGAGGAGATCCTGAAGGCGCACATTGAAGCCTTGCCCAAAGAAGTCAAGGAAGCAGTGGAGACGTTGGTGGCTCCAGTGAAGCAGGAACCAAAGGATGTGACCACCCAGCTCAAGACCACTGTAGGTGAACTCCGGCAGCTGTCGAACAAAAAGGCTGGCCTACAAAAGCGGGTTGACCACGCCAAGGACCAGTACAAGACTCTCCTGGAAGAACTAAAGCTGGTTCAAGAGCAGATCGACAAGGAGCAAAAGCAGCTGTCGGCCCAGTCGGAGGCTTATGCAAAGCTTTTAAAGGAAGAGACGGTGGTAGCAGCTGATGAAGGTCAGGAGGCCGTGGTTGACGCAGATGTGAATGAACATGTGCTCAAGGCCCTGGCCCGAGTTGGGATTTTGTACACAGACTCCCAGAGGACAGATCTTGAACGGCAGTTGGCAGAGAACATGCTGAAGCGCCGCAAGAAGGGGGAGGGCCAGCCGTCAGGGTAACCCTGAACGGCGGCAAGTGCT